GAGACCAAAAACAATAACATCCCAAGAGCACAGGGGTAAAACGACGGTAGTCACAAACTGGAAATTGTGAGGGGGCAATTTTAAAAGCTTGTTGACTCATTACTTCATATTTGTTTGACTGGTGGTTTATTGTAAAGTGTTGTTGAATAGGAAATCTAACAACAATAATCAACCAACAGTGGAATAGAAATACAGTTATGGGTCAACAAGCGTTCAAAATTGGTACCCTCACGATTTTCAGTTTATGACTACAGTCATTTTTCCCCCGTAGTCTTCATCTATATCTTTCTCTCTATCTAGTGGGCGTGCACTACTTTTAAGACGACAAACGCCGTGCAGCTGCAGGGATATTTAGCAACACCACTGTCCTACAACGCCAACTGCAGCGACATCCTCGACGAAGCAACAGTGCCGGGAATACGGAGCCTGGCCAGTAAGGCTTCTTCTTCTTCTTCTTCTTCTTCTTCTTCTTCTTCTTCTTCTTCTTCTTCTTTTGCATCATCATCATCATATATGATTATTATGATGATGATTATTATTATTATCATTATTATCATCATGATCATGATAATGATCATGATCATCTTCATTATTATTTGTGAGGCAGTGTGGTGGAATCAGGCTCTCGTCAAAATAATCAAAGTGAAGAAACTTGCATTTTTCCGCAGGTTTATACATTTTTATCAATGTTTTGTTTTTTGGCTCAACACCTTTCATGCCTATTAAAAACTCATTTCTGTGGAAATTTTTCTGAAAAATTTTGATTAAAGGCACAAAAAATTTTAATTTTCAGTTCCCACGGACTCTTAAGCTAAGGAAATAACTAATCTTTGGCGGCCATTTTCTCAATAATTTTACCTCTGAAAACAGGTGACCTCAACCCACACAATTCTACACTTAGTGTAGAATGCTGTGCCTCAACCTCCTTCTTTCGCAAACATCTCGACTTGTATTCAAGATAAATGGATATTTTTTTCATATTAATAAACACAAGTGAACAAGCTTTACGATGATACCAATAACTCTACATGCCCAAAAATTGACGAGAGCCTGATTCCACCACGCTGCCTCACATTTATTATTATTACGGAGTGGCTACTCGCCCAATGTCGGGTGGCTAGCGTCAGGCTAGCGTCAGGCTAGCGTCAGGCTACTCGCCCGACTCTCGTGGGAAAAGATGGTCAAGTTCGGTGTTGTGCGTCGTGTGCAGTGTGTACCTCTGGCCATCTCTGCCTCTGGCAGTCAGTTAGCTGTCGGTATGGCGCGGCAAATTTACTTTAGGACCGTACAACTCTGACAGTTGGCGGTGTGAAGGCGTGAATACTTGTAGGCCTACTTTGTTTTATATTTAAATTTTGTTTAAGCACTCCTTTTCGTAAAATACTGATGAAGAATCCACATTCAACGAAGTTGACCCCCCCCCTCCCCCACCCCCACAACAAAGTGAAAAAAACGCCCACCGTTTGTTTTTTAAAAGAAAAATACACAATCTTGTATAAACGGCCTCCTACCTTCAGTAGGGGTGAACTAGAACTATGAAATTGCTGCCAAAGTTTTTGATACACATATTTCCTTGGGCGAAGTGGACCATGCCGTAAGTCAGAGTATGTTATAACTACAACGGTTTGAAGATTGAAGCCAAACTCATTATTCTATTCTCTATTCTACCTCAAGTTATTGCATGCATCTACGAGTTATAATTATTATCTTTAATTTATTGTGAGCGCGCGGGACACAATTACGGATTTTCAGATGATTTTCAGTTTGTTTTTAAATATAGAATTAATTTCGAATTTTGCGTGAGTTGCGGTCGAAGCTTCGTGGCCTATAGAGGTTTTAAGGTGCTCGCCTCTCATTCAAAGGTCCCGGGTTCGAATCCGGGGAGCGACGGATAATTTTTCTTCTCTTAAATTGTCTCCTTTAACACCTTATTTTGCTGCTCTCTAACAATGTTCTGTCGTCTGCTTTCGTTTCCACTTTCTGTCCCCCTCCCCCCGTCCCCCCGCCACCTCTTTTGCCACCTCCTCACCTCTTTTGCCCCCTTCCTCTGGGCTCCTGAATCTTTCTGCAGCCTTTCTACTACTACTCCTTGGTTTCTTCTTACTGCTGTCTTTCAGCCACACCCCTGATCTTCTGGTAGGAAAGATCTACACCTAGCCTTCTCGGACAAGGGCGAAAAATCTCGGAGGTCACGTTTACAAGTTGCGCACGTTAAAGATCCCTTGGTGGTCTAAAATCGATAAGAGTAGGCTTCGGCCTCCAACGGGCAAAATTCAAAATTCCCTTCCAACTGAAAATAATTAATGTGTCCCGAGAGCTCATATGACATTATGAGCCCCGTAAAACACTTACCTCCCCCCCAAAAAAAAACCCAACAACAACAAACAACCAAACTCTTATCGATTTTAGGACCACTAAGGGATCTTAAACGGGCACAACTTGCTCACGGGACCTCCGAGGTTTTTTTCCGCTCTTATCCGAGAAGGCTAGATGTTCAATCTTACCTCCTCTAAGGTCAGGGTTGTGGCTGAAAGACAGCATTAAGAAGGAGCCAGGAGTAGCAGTAGAAAGAGCTAGAAGCCCAGAGGTTTGGGGGGGGGGGAGAAAGTGGAGTTGAAAGCAGGTAACGGAACATGATTAGAGCAGGAAATGTGGTGAAAAGGGGACATTTTAAAGACGATAATTTTCCGTAACTGTCAGGATTCGAACCCGGGACTTATTGAATGAGAGGCGAACACCGTACCTCTGGACCACGAGAGCCCCCTCTTAACTATTAAGCCGTTCAGGCAAGATAACTTGACTCTTTGAAGACGTGCATTCTAATCTTTCAACAACATACGTCCATCCGTCCAGGTGTCTTTCTTTCCATCTCTCTGTCTATCTTTCTATCCTTATAAAGGTTTAAGGTACTTTAGATAGCTGACACGAAGATAGGCCACGAAGCTTCGACCTCCACTCAAGCAAGAACAATTGGGGCGACAGAGTTGTGGTTCAAAAGACGCATGCTGCGTATCCTTTGGACAGCAAGAAAAACAAATGAAGAAGTCTTGGTTGAAGCAAATTGCAGAAGACAGGTTGTGACGAATATACGAAAACGACAGGCAAATTTCTTTGGAAGCACAATGCGAAAAGAAGCATTGGAGAATATTGTAACAATAGGCAAGTTTGATGAAAAGAGAGGCAGAGGCAGACAGTAGAGGGGGAAAGATACTGGACAGGATGACAACATGGCTGGGAGCAGCAAGAACAACAGACACCATTGCTGCATGCAACGCAAGACAGAGTGAAGTGGAGGTCCATGATCGCCCACGCCAGTCAGCAAGGCACCGGGGGTCATGATGAGACAGCTGACTTGAGAGAATTTTTCCCGGTCTGCCATGACACAATCATGCCTTTTTTTATAGATTACTGTAACCATTATTCTAAAAGTTCTTTTTTTCTTAGCCTTTTTTTTTTTTGGGGGGGGGGGGGGCAAGTGTTTAAGGGTGCTCACAACCGCCTAAGGTCATATGAGCGGGCGGGACACATTAATTAACCTTTTTCAGTTTGGTAGGAATTAATTTTGAATTTTGACCTGGTGGCGGCTGAAGCCTACTTATATCGATTTTAGGACCACCATAAAGGATCTTTAACGTGCGCAACTTTCACACGGGACCTCGGAGATTCTTTTGCTCTTATCCGAGAAGGGGAGGTGTTAGATCTTAGCCTACCTACTCCAAGATCAGGAGTGTGGCTGACAGACAGCAGTAAGAAAGAGCCAAGCAACAGGATGGGGCAAAGGGGAATGAGGGGGGAGGCAAAAAATGGAGTCGAAAGCAAGCGACAGAACTTGATTAGAGAGCAGGAAAGGTGAAAGGAGAACCTTTTTTTAAAGAAATAAGAAACTTTTCCGTCGCTGTCAGGTTTCGAACCCGACAGGGACCTATTGAATGAGAGGGGAAAATCATACCCCAAAACCGCGAGAGCATTCCCCCCCCAGTTATTTTACAAGTCACAGCTTCGCGTCCGCAAGAGCCCTTGCCTTTTCTTTAAGTAGGCCAAGCCAGGCCCCATAGCGCAGTTTTAGTTTTTGTGACGTCGTACACAAACCGAGCGATCATCACCACATTTATTTGACCACATCGCTCAGCGAGAAGTTGAAAATCTAGGCCCTAATGGCTAGGCTAGTTCCTCTGTGCCTTCTTGTCGAAAACTTGTGCTGGATACCATGTAAGTTTGAAGTTTTCAATTAGAAAGATAGATCCAGATCCAAGCATGTGTACAATACCAAAAACTTTTGCCTTTGAGTCTGCTTACTTACTGTTAGGCTATGACACATTATTCAATAAAGGCTGGTTGGAGATAGAGTTCGTGAAAGACATTGTAATTAGATCTATCACCTTCCTTTGTTGTAGCAATTAAATAACGCCATGTTACTTTTACCCGCACGCTCAGCAAGAATTTTATTTGCTCCAAACGCACACAATGATTTGCACATGTCATGTCATGCTCACCCTTAATATACTAAAGTAGTTCTTACGACCTATTTCTAGAAATTCCATCTTTTTTAATTTTTGCAAGTATGCTGTCATTTTGCATTTTGACAATATTATTTCTAAAGCTACTATCTAGATTCTAGAGTCTAGATCTAGGTTTAGGTCTAGATTCTACCTCTCGTCGTGTCAGTGAAGCATTGTGCTGAAATTGCCGATGTATTAATGTCGGTCTACGTTGGGAAGACCACCAGATCCTTTCCTTACTCTCTCCCTCCTTGTTTCTTTTTACGAATTTAATGTACGGAAACTGACAGAAATTGTTATTTGCAAATAATCTAACTTGCTGCCAGATCTATAAAACCGCGCAGAGCAGTTCGGCACAATTCATGGCTCACCTTGCGATTATAATGCTGTGCGAGTGAGAAACACGGCTTTTGGTCTAGGGGAGGTAACTGGGTTATTGTTTGTGTGTGTTTAGTAAAATGATAAGTTATTGCCCCTTTTTTCCATAAAGTAGAACATGGGTTGAGAGTGCAACTGGCAGTTCCTGTTCCTTTTCTTGCCTTCTGTCGTTTCTGTGAGTGCATCCTGGTTTATCCTAGCACTTGTTGATTAACTTTTCTTTACTCAACAAATTTCTAGAAGTCGTGCTGTTCCTTTATTTAATGTTAGGTCTGTATATTCCAGCAGGATGAAGAATCCAGAGACTGTTACACGTTGGCCTATAGGCTACACTTGCATGCATTCTGCATTCTCATCATCTTCTTCTTGTTGTTGTACCCCTGTAAGAGCTTAGGGAGTTACTGACTGTAAGATTTTCCTCTCACAATACAGTTGATTTTTATGTAGGCCTACAAGGCTGTTTTATCTATATAAAGAATACAAAATCGTCCCTTGCTCATGAGGCAACTACGTGCCAGTATTCATACTGACTAGAGTGGCTACAGTTTATGGGTTGGACCTGATTTTTCAAATAGGCCTGGAAAGCAAGCCAAAGGGCCTCTCTTTTCGATTTTAGAATCACCAGAGGTTCTTTAATGTGTGAAAAATTTCCCTTACGACTTTGAAGGTTTTAAAAATCCTTATTCTGGAAGGTGCCTGATCCTACCTACCTCAAGTAAAGGGTATGTAGAAAACATTTTTTTAAAATCCCGACTCTTTTTTTTGTTTTGTTTTTGTAAAGTGTTTCTCGGCGCTCGCAACTGCATTAGGTCATATGAGCGCACGGGACACACCTAATAATATCAGTTGGTAGGAAATTTTGAATTTTGCCCGGGTAGCGGCCGAAGCCTACTCTTATCGATATTAGACCACCATTTTAAGGGATCTTTAACGTGCGCAACTTGCACACGGGCCCTCCGAGATTTTTCGCCCTTCTCCTAGAAGGCTAGGTGTAGATCTTTCCTACCAGAAGATCAGGGGTGTGGCAGAAAGACAGCAGTAAGGAGGAGCCAAGGAGTAGTAGTAGAAAGGCTGCAGAAAGAGTCAGGAGCCCAGAGGAAGGGGCAAAGGAGGTGAGGGGGTGGGGGCAGAAAGTGGAAATGAAAGCAGACAACAGAACATTGCTAGAGAGCAGGAAAGGAGGTGAAAGGAGACAATTTTAGTGAAGAAAATTTTTCGGTCGCAACCCGGATTCGAACCCGGGACCTTTGAATGAGAGGCCAACACCTTAACCTCAAGGCCATGAGAGCCCCCCAATCCTGACTCTGGCGGGGATTAAACACTAGACCTCCAGTTGAAAAGCAAACACCATGCCTTTTGAGCTACCAAGCCCTGCTCTTCAAATCAATGTCTGCTACAATTTATTTACCTGTGTCTGTGGTGCAGTGGTTAGATGCTTCGCTGTTGCACGCAGGAGACCCGAATTCGATTCTCGAGTGGGGAGAAGTTTTTATCGAGTATCTTGGTCTTTCCACTGGGATGTTGTATCCCTCTCAGCCCAGGTTAGCCCTGACAAGCAGGGCTGGAAGCCTGCCTCGTAACTGATCTAACTTATGTTGATGGGGGCGTAAAGACGCATACATTAAATTGAATAAAAAATCTGCAATTTATTCGATAGACTCTTATAGAGTTCTGGTCTTGGTCGTAGATATATCTGGCTTGTTGCCATTTTGGTTTCTTTTAGTTAACCGTCTGGTATTTTCCGAGTCCCACATCTAATAGGGAAATCTTTTTATAGAGTTTGTTCATTCATCCAATGGGTTATTTGCTACCTCAGAATTACAAAGTTAGCCGATACAGCTGCTCAGTACCTAGTTATGAGAAGTTTTATATAAAAAGTGTTGAGATTCACAATTCTTTCAATATCTTGATAACGACTTCAAATAATCTTACGATTTTGATAGAACACATGGAGCATTTTGGTTTCTGACCTCATAGTCTTAGTAACTTAAAACGGCCAAAATTGTCAGATAGAACTTTGTAATTTTAAGGTAGCAAATCGTATCTCTCCTGACGGCTGATGTTGGCCCCAGAAGGTAGTCAGCATCCTAATTAATGATCTGAATTGAGTTGTTGGGGTTAAAAACATTAGAATTAGAGTCAGCCGGTCGCTGGTGTTCAGAGGCCTTATATTGTCTTTATTCTTCAAGCTATATTTATCTACTATGACCTGGTAGGCCTATATTTATTAAGTTTATCACTTTGTCTAGGGAATTTTTTCCATTCATCAATGGATTTTGATTTTGGACACTCAGAATGGAGCGGAGGGCCACGTAAATCTTAAGCCATAATTTCTAGCTAAATAAAACTCCAACTGTATTTTATATATGAAAGTAAAATCAGATTATATAAGTGCTGGGCTAAAATGTCAGTTAAATGTGAGTTATAATAGGTATCTTGGTGAATTCAGGTGCATTGTCAAAACAATGAAATCGAAGAAAATGGCATTTTTCCAGGTGTTGGGCAATTTTTATCAAATTTTTTGTTTTTTTGGTTTGGCACCCTTTTTATCAATCTATAAATAGGCTACATTTTTGTGTGGATCTTATTGAAAAATGTTGATTAAAGGGACACAAAAAAGTTAATTCGAAGTTTCCAAAGGCTCCCAAGCTATGGAAGGTAGCTATTTCTGTGCTAATTTTACCCCTGAAATCAGGCGGCTCGAGATCACACTTTCTTCAATCGCAAATATCTCGACTTTTATTCAAGTCATATGGGTATTTTTTAAAAGTCGAAAGCAAAAAAAAAGAACAAGCTTTAAGATGATACCTATAACTTCACTTGTCCGAAAATTGACAAAAGCCTGATTCCACCGCGTTGTGACACAAATTGTACTTCAAGACAGACAGTAGAAACTGGACCAAAAAACAAACAATGCGTGCATTTTTTCAATTTTCATTCAATTGTGAATAAAAATGTCACTTTTCATGAATTTTTTTGCAGATGTCTCTGTCATTCAAGGCTATGCCTTCACTGTTTGGGCTACGTATGATGAAAAGGAATCTGAGAAAGCTACAACATATATGCAGTTTACAACGGATGCCCCAGAAATTGAGATCAGGTTGGAATTAAACCAAATTAAAACATTGGAAAGTTGCAGTTTTCCTAGCTAGATTCTTTTCAATGGAGGGAGAATAGATCTATGACGCTCAGAATTTTTATCAAATTTCTGTTTTGTTGGCTCGGCACCCTTTATGTCCATTTAAAAATAGGCTACATTTTTGTGTGGATTTTACTGAAAAATGTTGATTAAAGGCACAAAAAAAAAGTTAATTCGAAGTTTCCAAAGGCTGTCAAGCTATCATGGAAGGTACCAAACTTTGTTGGCTATTTCTGTGCTAATTTTACCCGACACCGACGATGACCTTTACAAACAAACATGTTTGTTTTCAAGGCCACGAGTTGGGGGATCAATTTGGGTTTGAGGCATGTGTCTATTTATAGTGTGCACTGATGTCCCAAGAAACGTAACGTAACGTACGTAATGTAACAAAACCAAACTGATCCTCCAATGAGCACTGCCTATAAGACAATCACTTTTCTCCTCAACAATGAGTGATCACTTGGACTAATTTGACTTTAATCATTTACCAAGGCCTTTGCTATCTATCTGTCCCCGCGGTTTTATGCAAAAAAAATTCTGAAATTATGCAAACTGAGCCCAAAAATGTGAAATTATGCGATTCTGTTAATTTTAACTAAGAATGATAAAGGAAAATAATTAGAAACTGTGCAAAAAATGATCAAATTTTGCAAAATTATGCGGGGTGCATAAAACCACGGGGACGGATCTATGTAGCCAACCATAGACAATAGATGTAGATAGATAAAGACTGTAAAGGGTACAAATATAATAGAGCTTGCTGTTTTGATGGAATTTTCGCTATATAAATGCTTTTTTAAAAAGAAGTGTGCATGAGTATTTATGTTTTGTACATAGGCAAGAACATTATACATATTTAAGCTTGCTGACAAAATGACTTAGGCCTACTAGGGAAGGCATACATCTGCCAAAAATCAACACAGGAGTCAGATTTGTCGATTTTTAATTGATACCACTTTCTTCAAATTTGACATGTCTTTTGTCAGTTTCACTAACAAATTGTACAAGCTCAATCTATAAATTTGATGTAACCTATATATATCCATAGGGTAAAATCCAAGTAGTAACTCATTTTGTCAGAGCTCCTCACATGTACATATACAGCAATTCAAAAACACAGTATATATATATCTACATAAATTTGATGTAGCCTATATATCCATTACACAATGTAGCCTATATATTATATATCCATTACACAATATTTAAAAATATAGAGGATATTTCATACGCACTAGTGCTTGTTGCTATGATAGATTGCACAATATCTAAGAATCTATGAACACAGAAGACCTAATGGTTTCAAAATTAATCAACGTAAACATAAACAAGAACATCTGTCTGTCTGTCTGTCTGTCTGTTTGTGTGTCTATCCATCCATATCTATTTATCTAGGCCTATCTGTCTATCCATTTATCTATCTATCTATCTATCCGTCTGTCTGTCTGTCTGTCGGTCTGGCTGGCTGTCTGTCTGGCTGGCTGTCTGTCTGTGTCTTTCCATCTGTCTGTCTGTCTGCGTGTCAATCCATCTATCTATCTATCTATCCATCTATCTATCTATTTAGCTATCTATCTAGTATCTATCTATCGATCGATCTATCTATTTATCTATCCATCTACCTATCCATCTGTCGGTCTCTCTGTCTGTCTGTCTGTGTGTCTGTCAGTCTAACAGTCTGTCTATTGATTATTTATTATTATTCTCACTAGCTGTGTGGTGAATTGCGGTGCTCGAACGGCAGTGAGCAGCGACTACAAGCTGGAAGTGTCGTGCGTGTTTTGCTCTCATTACGAGTTCATAAAGGCCAAAGTGGTTTGGGAGCTTAAACTACATTTAAATGTTAGTACTACCCCTGAGACATTCCAAGATGTGCCAAACTTTCAAAGCTTTACGGAAACACTAGGTAGGCCTACTGTGGGTTGGAAATCGTATTATCGAGTTTGTTCATTCATCCAATGGGTTATTTGCTACCTCAGAATTACAAAGTTAGCCTATACAGCTGCTCAGTACCTAGTTATGAGAAGTTTTATA